CTCAGCCAGTGAGCGGGAACCGGTCTGTATGTGGGATCCGAACCCTCGGCGGGAGCGCCACCGCACTCCCAAGCGGCGCACTGTAGCAGTGCGCCACCGGGCCGGCCCTGATCTGGGCATTTCTGAAAGTGTCTCTAAATTTGCTGAGAGACAGCAGTCCAGTGGTAACCAAACCTGACTGACCAACAGAATTGTCCCCAAGGAGGATTTTTAAAAAAACTGTTAAATTGGGATATTATTCACATGCCATACAATCCACTTGTTTAAAGTGTACAGATCAGTGGTTTTTAGTCTGTTCACAGAGTTGTACAGTCATCACCACAATCAATTTTAGAACATTTTCATCACCCCACAAAGAAATCTTGTACCCATTAGCAGTCACTCTCCATTTTCCCCAAGCTCCTCAGCAATCAGTAATCTCCTTCTGTCTTTTTCAGTTTTCCTATCTGGACACTTCATATAAATGGAATCATGTAATCTGTGATCTTTTGTGACTGGCTTCTTTCACTTAGTCTGTTTCTAAGGTTCATCCATGTTGTAGTATGTATTGGCACTTTATCCAAGGAGTGTTTTTGAAATAGATTCCTCACTTATAGAATCAAAATCTCTGGGAGTAGGCCTGGAAATAAATACTTCTGAAAAGGTGTTTAAAGGAAGATTCTGATCAGTCAGGTTTAAAAATCAGTTTATCAGATCAGAGAATTAGAGCTTGGCCATTTCTATTCAAAATATGCCACATACTTTTGGCATTTTTCATACTTGTTACTGACTTTTTTTCTTTGTTTTTACTTTGTCATGTAGACACAGATATTGTTAAACCTGTACTCCATCCATGTTCTACATAAGCACCTTTCTTTGTCCAGCTGCAGTTTTTGTGGGGGAGGGTTAGGTCTGAGATAATCATGTTATTTCCCCTTTGGGTGTATGAATGAAACAGTTGAGAAATATGAGTAAATACAATCTGTATTTTAAAAATGATGGAAATAACTTATTTGTTTTCCAGGGCACATGTTGCTAAACTTAAGTCGTGGCAAGCAAGATTTTTTAAAAGAGGTTGTAGAATCTTTTGCCAATAAAAATGGACAGTCTGCTTTATATGATGCTCTGTTTTCTAGTCAGTCACCTAAGGATAGATCTTTCCTTGGTGGCGATGATATTGGAAACATTGATGTACAAGCACCAGAGCTGGATGACTTGGCTAGATATGATGTCGGTAAGTTGTTTTTCAAAGGAAACATTCTGCATCTTAATTATTTTATACAAGTATTAGGAAAATAATTACCCAGAGATAATGACTTAATATTTTCCTGTATTCCTTTCAGGGATTTTGTTTGTTTGTTTGAGGGGGGTAGTGGGAGATAGTGGGGTGGCATAGTTTTTTTTTCTCAATAGTTATTTGTACCTCGTATATGATTTATCTTGCTGCTTTCATGACTTCTCTGTCATAGTATCTATATTAAAACTCCATAAATATCTCTCTTAATGGCAATATAATCTTTTTTTTATGAATTAACCATAATTTGCTTCCTACTTTGTTGTTTGGCATCCAAGTCTGCATGACAAATTATTTCCATAGAGATTCCTAAAAACAGAATGATGAGACAAAGGAGATGAACTTTAACTCTTGCAAATTGCCAGAAAGGTTGTATCTCTTTATGTTTCCAGAAGCCCATAATCTTTTCAATACTGAATTTCTAGCAGAAGATAAGATGTCTTTATTATACTAATGGATTAATATAGTCATATCCTCTTGTTTTCATGACTCTTCACTGAAAAGAAAATCCATTATTTTAAGATTTCTTATTAGGTATTAGGTGGATGTTATTTTTTTATTATTATTAGCATATTCATTATTACAAATCATACTTTCTCTTTATGCTCCTTATCTAATCTCTCCTCCACCTCCTCTCCGCTCCAATAATAGATTTGTTCTCTCCATCTTATAGATTAACTGTTCTTCTGTTGATTTGTTGCCTAGATGATCTGTCCAGTACTGAGACAGATGTGACCAAGTCCTCCTGTATTATCATACAGCAGATGCTTCTTTTATTACTCTGGAGTGTGCTTTGTGGAGAGAGAGGATCTCTTTTTTTTTTTTTGGTCTCCATTGATGCCTCTCCTTGTGTCAATGCAGTTAAGAATCTGGCATGCTAATCTGCATGGTGGCTGTGATTGCTGCTATAGAGACTAGCTGCTTTTGCAGCAGCTGTAGCAATTGTGGTGGCTGTGGTGGGCTACCTGCATGGAAATGGTGTGTTTGTTATAACCTTGTTGAGGCTGGGTTTGGCCTCCCCCAGATCCATGCCTCAGGACCCGCAGGTGGGCATTCTTTATTTGACCTCAGTAGATTTTGTTTTATTGACTCCTAATGAGTCTTATTTTCTAAATGGGCTTGAAAAAAACATTTTCCAATGCAACTGTAAAGTGTGAAAGTATTTAATAAGAACATGAGATTTTGCTTATAAAATTTACCAGCTCTGGTGTAGAAAAGCAATTATATAATTAAGATGCATTTAATCTGAGTTAATTGTTTATTTTGGCCATAGTATTGGCACAAAGAAAATTTCCAAAACCTTAAGCCAGTTTTTTTCCTTTATTTCAGGTGCCATTCGAGCACATAATGGTAGTCTTCAGCACCTTACCTGGCTTGGCTTACAGTGGAATTCATTGCCTACCTTACCTGCAGTTCGAAAATGGCTAAAACAAATTTTTCACCATTTGCCCCAGGAAACGTCAAGGCTTGAAACAAATGCACCTGAATCAATATGTATTTTAGATCTTGAAGTAAGCAAAACTTTTAACAAATTAAATATTTTGAGTCTTGTTTAATTTTTTTCTAGCATAAATTAATTTTTCTTTAAATAAAACAGGTATTTCTACTTGGAGTAATATATACCAGCCACTTACAATTAAAGGAGAAATGTAATTCTCACTACAGCTCCTATCAGCCACGATGCTTGCCACTTCCTGTGTGTAAACAGCTTTGTACAGAAAGACAGAAATCTTGGTGGGATGCAGTTTGTAGTCTAATTCACAGAAAAGCAGTGTAAGTAGTAAAACAAAAATATTTCTTTAACTTATTGCTTAGGTTTTACCAGGTATTTAATTTAATTCTCATGTGAAGGTTTAATTTGTTGAGTAGCAATTGACATACATGTAATTGTTGAACTGTGTGTCTTTAAAGCAGTTTTATTAAATAAAACTTTTTTTTAGACCTGGAACCTCAGCAAAATTGCGACTTCTAGTTCAGCATGAAATAAACACTCTAAGGGCCAAGGAAAAACATGGCCTTCAACCTGCTCTGCTTGTTCATTGGGCAAAATGCCTTCAGAAAACGGTGAGTTTATTAAAGTATAAACATTTTTTAAGAAGATTACCTTAATTTTTTAACATTATGAACTTTTAATATCAACTTTTTAGTTCTGGAAACACTAGCAGCTTGTTTATATTATGCTAGGTGAAATGTGTTTTTTAATCTTTTCAGAAAGTAGTTAATGTAGTTTAATCTAAGCACTTAGAAGAGTAGTGCTCAGCACATAGTAAATGTTATATAAATATTAGCTGTTGTTGTTATCACTTAATTAAGTTGTGATAATTATTGTCCAGCCTGAAAATTTATTTACACATTAAGTAGCATTTTGTAGGTAAGGGCATTATAGAGTTTTCTGCATATTTGAGGTCTGTTCTGTGGCAGGATATGTAGATGGTTAGCCCTTTGATCAAACTGTGACACGGAGAGGCAGATTTTGGCTACATTAAAAATGGCAATTCTTGGGCCGGCCCGGTGGCGCACTGCTACTGTGCGCCGCTTGGGAAGTGCGGCGGCGCTCCCGCCGAGGGTTCGGATCCCACATACAGACCGGCCGCTCACTGGCTGAGCGAGGAGCGGGGGCAACACTGAGGGTTGCAATCCCGTTGCCGGTCCCGGTCCGGTACCGGCGCGACACTGAGGGTTGCGATCCGTTGCCGGTCACGAAAAAAGAGACAAAAAGGAAAAAAAAAAAATCTTAAACTTAACCCTGAAGCAAGAGAAAGACATTGTAGGGTTTTCAACAAAGCAATGACATAACTGAATTTATATTCTAGAACGTTCATCCCAGCAGCAGTGTGGATATTAGATGAAAGACGGGCAAAACTGGAGTCAGGGAGGCCCATTAGAAGGCTGCAGCAGTAACACTATATCATTGAAAGGGTTTAAAAGTTGAGTCTAGGATGATCACTGGTATTAAGTTCGTTAGTTATTCCAATATTTGGGAAGTTGATCAAATGACTTTTGAGATTACATTTGGTTTTGACTTGAAGTTTTTACCAGTTGTTCTGAACCATTTGTAAATGAATTTTTAGATTATATCATACATGTTCTTTAAGGTCGTGTGCGTCTAAATTTTTATTTTAGGGCAGCAGTCTTAATTCTTTTTATGATCAGCGGGAATACATAGGCAGAAGTGTTCATTATTGGAAGAAAGTTTTACCATTGTTGAAGATGATCAAAAAGAAGAGCAGTATTCCTGAACCTACTGATCCTCTGTTTAAACATTTTCATAGTGCAGACATTCAGGTAATGAAGAATCACTTTGTGAATTAACTGGAGATTGGGTTTCTAGTTCATAAACAAAGAAATGGAAATTTAAACTGCTTAAATTAATTGCCTTGCTATTTACTGGAACTCTTGTTTTCTAAACTTACTAGCTATTACAAATAAAATGACAGAAGAGAGTAATGAGATGTTAATTTCGTTAGATCATCTAAAATCTTTGGGAAATCATTTGGGTTTGATATTCTGAGTTCAAGCAAGTTGACTAAAAACTACTAAATGTGTGTAGGTATCTGAAATTGGTGAATATGAAGAAGATGCACACATCACTTTTGCTATATTGGATGCAGTTAATGGAAATATAGAAGATGCTATGACTGCTTTTGAATCTATCAAAAACGTTGTTTCATATTGGAATCTTGCCCTGGTAAGTAGATGTGGTATTTGAATTAAAAGTTTTTGTTTTAGGGCCGGCCCGGTGGCGCACTGGAGAGTGCGCCGCTTGGGAGTGTGGCGGCGCTCCCGCCGAGGGTTCAGATCCCATGTGGAGACCGGTTCCCGCTCACTGGCTGAGCGTGGTGCGGGCGCAACACTGAGGGTTGCGATCCCGTTACCGGTCAGTGAAAAAGACAAAAAGGAAAAAAAAAAGTTTTTGTTTTAAAAATCTGATTGTTTCATAAAAGCACTCTTTGTATAGATTTTTCACAGGAAAGCAGAAGACATTGAAAATGATGCCCTTTCTCTTGAAGAACAAGAAGAATGCAAAAATTATTTGAGAAAGACCAGAGACTACCTAATAAAGATTGTAGATGACAGTGATTCAAATCTTGCAGTGGTCAGGAAAGTAAGTTGCAGCTTGTTTGTAATTTTTTATTATTGATAACCGGCTGATCAATTTTTTTGCCTCGCTTTTATATTTTGGTAATTTCAAAAACACTCAATAATATCTTGTTATTAATGCACAGGAGAGGTGTGTGTAAATGCTTAATTTGCTTTACATTGTCTTACGTTTGGGGTATGTTTTTTAAAACTTGGTAACCTAGGTATATATGAGGGATCTTCAAAAAGTTCAAGGAAATATTTGTATTTTTTCATTCTATTTTTCCGTGAACTTTTTGAAGTACCCTTATGTTTTTACAGAAATACTTCTTGGGGAATTAGAAAAGGTTTCTAATTATTTACTAACTTTATTATCTTGGCAGTATAAAGAAAACAAATATTATAAGCTCTGGACTAGTTCTTAATAAATTTTGCTGAAATTGAAAGTTATTGCTGACAACTTCACAGCATTTCTTCTCGTCCTCATCATTTGCTATAGACTGTCTTGTTTTCCACCTGTCAGTAGTTTGAGACTGTCATAATAGTGTTCAACTATCTTCAGTCTTCCTTCTGTTATTTTGTTAGTTACTTTGCGTTGCTGCTCTTGGGTTAGGATTTATGTTGTCTGGTGCATTCTACCATCTATACTCATATTTCTGTCCATTCAAAAGCAGTGAGAATGTCAAGTGTTTATCATAGTGCCTGACCCAATAGGTATTTAATGAATGATAGCTATTATTTTTAGAGGAAATTAACTGAAAACCCCTGGTAAATGCGGCAGGGGGGCTTTTAATAGGATTTGTTTTTTTCAAGAGTATGTGAGAAGGGGTTTTTAAACATAAAACTCCAGATATTTGTGGGATGAATTTCAGTTTTCAAGCTTGTCTGATGACTTTTTGATTTTGCAGACTGAAGAGTATGTTAATGATTATATGGTCATTTTACCCAGTGTCTGTCTCTCCCTTTTGTTGTGCTTTAAAGTTAAAGTTAATCTCATGAATAAAGGCTACTTGCTTTAAAAAAAAGTTAGTAACTGACTGGTTTTGTTTACTTGGAATAATTTCCCAAGTTAACATTCCTCTACCATTATTAAGACTAATAGAAGTAATAGAAACAGCATGGACTTTAGAGTCAGAAGACTTTAGATTATACACACTTTCACATGCATTATTATTTAAAGTATGAAGTGCTTGTTATACAAAAGTGAGCAAAATGTAAATACATTATTAAGAGAAAATTTTTGTATTTATTTTAGATTCTTACTGTGGTATTTTTACAAACTAAAGTCCTTGATTAATGTCTCTTGTTTTTAGTTGCCTGTGCCCCTGGAATCTGTAAAAGAGATGCTTAGTTCAGTCATGCAGGAACTCGAAGACTATAGTGAAGGAGGTCCTCTTTATAAAAATGGTTCTTTGCGAAATGCAGATTCAGAGATAAAACATTCTACACCATCTCCCACCAAATATTCTCTATCACCAAACAAAAGTTACAAGGTAAATAGGAAAGAAATGAGTCATATCATTGTGGAATGTTTCTGTTCTAAGTGTTTTAAATACTCTTTTTTTGCTATTGTTATTTTTTTAGTATTCTCCGAAAACTCCACCTCAGTGGGCAGAAGATCAAAATTCTTTACTGAAAATGATCTGCCAACAAGTAGAGGCCATTAAGGTAAATCACATAATTTCTGTAATTGTGCCTGTTATTCCGAGATTTCTTCTCTGATGACTCCCTTACTTCTTTCTAAAGCTGGTCAAAATATCACTTTGCCAGGGTGCTATAGAATCATACCATGTTTTACATACCACTATCTTAACCCTTACCATATTTTTGAAATTACTTATGTATCTGTCTCCTTTCCAAAATGTGAGTCCTTCAAATGTAGTGTTTTATTCAAAACATAGCATGGTTCTTGGCCCAGAGTAGGTTCCCAAGTTGATTGAATTGAACTGCTGAAATATACTAATCGTACTTGGCCCTATGAGTTCATTCTCAGATTGGCTGTGGGTTAGGTGTGTGTCAAATTTATAGCTAGGAATTGAATTGAATCCAAGCTTCAAATAGTTTTTCTTTTTAATACTTTCATATGTTTGACTTAATTATATGAGGAAATGTTATGTGTACATATTCTTATTTTAACTTTAAGAGATCAAAGGAACTTTACTTTTTTGGAATTAGAAGGGTCTTTCATGCTTATTGGGCAAGAAAAAAGTTACTTGTACTTGTAAAGTTACAACAAGGAAATCCTGATATGTGGCGGTTATTGCAGTGCGATCAGTGCTGTGTGAGAACTAGAAAATGTTTGGAGGAGGAAAAATGTTTGAATCTGCACAAAGATTTTGCATGTTAATTTTGTGTAACCGTGGCCAGTGGTATTACATATGATCTTGACTTAACATACAGGTCTCAGGCACACAACATTGTATTCTGTGGAAGTGTAGTGGAACACTGGTCCATGAGCCTGAACACCTGGGACTAGTATTGACTCTGCCACTAATTAATGATCTTGGGCTAATCATTTCCTTACCTTTGTGTCTATTCGGCTTCTCATCTGTAAAGTAAGAGAATTGTTGAAACCAGTTCTCATCACATCTTCTAGTTCTTCGAATTTTTAAAATTATGATTATTTTTAAAATTATGATTAGTACTGATTACAAGTTCAAAACTATGACCCAGATACCAGTAGTGGACACTAACATTTTCCGTTTGATTGCACCAGTTACTTATTTTTGGATGTGCAGCATCCACACCAGGCACAGTAGATGGATGGGTGGGGAAAATTTTATTTAGCTGGAAAATTGAGATAGTTTTTGACCTCATAGTTACGGCTTTCTGAGAAATTTCTAATTGAAAACACTTGTAGAAGAAGAAAGCAGACATGCTAGATCTGTTGTTGACCTCACTTATTAAAACTGGTCAGGTGCCTGGGCTGATAGAAGTTGGAAACTGTTGGGCCGGCCCCGTGGTGCACTCGGGAGAGTGCGGCGCTGGGAGCGCAGCGACGCTCCCACAGCGGGTTCGGATCCTATATAGGACTGGCCGGTGCGCTTGCTGGCTGAGCGCGGTGTGGGCGACACCACACCAAGGGTTGCGATCCCCTTACCAGTCACGAAAAAAGACAAAAAAAAAAAAGAAGTTGGAAACTGTTTTCAAAATTGACCTGTTGTCTGATACCACAGCAGTTTCTTTGGAAAAAGTTATAATTCCCTGATAGTACCTGTTTTTGTAAGGGGAGGTTTTGTAGGTTCTGGGGTTGGGTAGAGTATTGCCATTTAGTTGTCTATAAAGTAGCAGACTCAGATAGCTAGCCACGTAGCTACATTAGAAGGCAGTACAATCTGCCATCTTGCCTGGGCAGCAGAGTGGTGTTCTGAAAACATTTTTGGAGTCAGGTCTGGTTCAAATTCTAGCTGTGCCATTTCCTGCATCTCTTTTTCTCATTTTAAGATATGAGTTAATATTGCTTACCCAGCAGTATCTAAAGATTAATTAAAAACTTAAGTGCCTGGAATAAATTATTATATAATAAATTCTGAGCAAATATTAGTTGTTTCTCCTTTCCTGGTGAGGCATTTGAGCATCACCTTGAGAATTAGTAGTATTTTGTTATATCACATGTGAGTAAGTGGAAAGCTGGTTTTGGGAGATGGTTTGGAATGTTGAGTAGTTCAGATGGACTGAGGACCAAAGCAGCATGGAAAGGAGACACTGGAAGGATGTTTAGGGTAATACTGCTTGAGGACCCTGAATGCCAGAGAAAGAAGTTTAATTTGTAGGCACTTGTTTTTTTGAGCAGGGAAATGTGGCTGGAGCTGAACTTTAGAAGGAATAACGTAGGCTAGTGTAGAATGGAAATGGAGGTGAGATCATTCAGGAGGTTATTCAGTTGTTTAGGTTAGAATTAGAGTGAATCAATTAGGTAGGTGTTACCAAGGAATGAAGGAATGGGAACAAGATAAATTTTAACAAATTAAGGATTATGTTTTAAAATCACCACCTGATACCCAGATCTAATTAGGAAATAGAATCTCTTAAAAGTATTCAAATTTAAATGCTTCAAGTTTTCCTTAGCACTGTTTCTGGCATGGTGTAATTGAATGTTTAAAATTATTTTCATGTTTCTTCCAATAGAAAGAAATGCAGGAGTTGAAACTAAATAGCAGTAACTCAGCATCTCCTCATCGTTGGCCAACAGAGAATTATGGACCAGACCCAGTGCCTGATGGATATCAGGGATCACAGACTTTTCATGGGGCTCCACTAACAGGTGAGCTGGCAACTAGATAATCCTAGATTTTAGTAAAATCACTTTACCTCTTCCTCTTTTAGATAGATAACTTGTGAAGTCACTGTCTATATATGTTTGTTTATATATATGTCAATATATGTCTGCTTCCATGTTACTTAAAAAACAGTATTTGGTAGTACTGAGATTTTATAACTCCAAGCAGAAACAAAAGAAGCTTTATCCGATTGGCTTAAATAACCCTTTAATACTCATCTCAGATAAGCACAGTTTGAAGTGGGATTATTTCTTAAATTGAAAATTGTTTTAACCAGTATAATTTCCCAGAGGTTTAATTTCTTTGATATACTGAAAGGCAGGATATTAATAGGAAATCTTACTTATTCTGAACTATCATGGCTGTATATAAGGAAACGGAGTTTGGAGCTAGACCATATTGGGTTTTTAAGTTGTTCTCTATCACTTACTAGCTGTGTAGGTTAACCTCTCTGAAATGTGGAGATATTACTTGCCTCACATAATTATTATGAGCATTTGTGTATATGTGAGTGGGTGTGGGTGTCTGTTAGCTGTTTATTATAGCATACAGTAAACACAATGAACCAAGGTTACTAATAGTGCTTACTGTTGGTTGGCTATGTGTAAAAGTGCTTTGTGTATATAATTTTATTTAATCATAGAACTCAGAGTGGTAGGTACCATTATTAATCCCAATTTTATAGATGAGGAAATGGGTTTAGAAAGGTTAGGGGTCTTATCCCTTGTTATACAGCTAGTTACTGATAGAGCTGGGATTCACCTCCAGTGGTCTAACTCAAAAGCCCTTGCCAGTATGATACATTGCTCCCAGGCAGCCAGAAATGCCAATAAAAATAGGTTTGTTTATTTATTTATTTATTTATTGAAATGGTAGTAATGCATAGTTTTTTCCTAATTTCTTTTAGCACAGGAAAGATTTAAAATGATGAGGTTGAGTTTAGACTAGCACCTTTACGTGATGGTTCATAGGACCATACTTAAGGCAAACTCACTATCTACCCTCTTGTGATATTGTCTTCTAAATGCAAGCAAAATAACAGAAAGTCATCGTGAAGTCAAGCTTATTAAATGTCATAAGTTATAGATAAGTTATTAGATGTCTAGAGTTCAAACCTTGCTTACTTAAAAACCCTGTGCATTGTATAGAGCCTTATACAGAGAGGATAGACTGGCTAGCCTTTTCTAGGGCTTTTTCAGTGCAGTGTGGAGTCAGTCATTTGGCACCTCTTGGGTCACAATTTCCATTTCTTCTTCCATGTACAGGCATAGAAGGTCATTTGGTGTTATACAAGCATATAAACACAACATTCACATTGTCTCATTTTGTTCTTCCAGTGACTCTATGAAGTGTATAGGAGCAGCACATCCTCATTTTACAGTTTAGAAAAATGGAGACTCCAGATGGCTTATTGACATGGTCACAAAGTAGCTTTGTGGCACTGAAAAAGGGAGAGCCCAGGTTTCCTGATTTCCTATTTCTCTGTTCTGATAGACTCTTTTCTCTTAAAGTAAAACTATACCAAGATAGTCCTTATCTTTTTAAAATAAGATGATTAAGAAACAAAGATTAATAAGCTTGTAGGAAGTACCCAGAAGTGCTAAACAGTTTAAAGAAATCTGAAAACTAACCACTTTCCTATCATGTAGTGTCCAATTAGCATTTTGGAGTTTATCCTTTTGGTTTTTTCTCTTTGTAAACATAAAGTATTTTTTGTAAAATTATTACCATGTGCCTATGTTGTATGTAGAAGAGTTAGCCTGTTTTTTAAATGTTACTTTAAGTTCTGAGCATTTTTCAGTAAATATATGGTATCCCTTCATATGGAAGTACAGCACATTCTATTCCTGTAATGTTGCTAAGTTTGTGGTATTATAAATAATGCTGTGGACATGTTCCTAAGATTGTAGGGTATTTTAGAAATTCAGTTTACACTTTTAGCACTAAAGATAGTACTATCTTTTGTACTCTTGCTAGTGTTTATAAACCTTTGCCAATTTGTTAGAACAAAATTTATGTCAATTTTTACGTTTTTTAATACTAGGCATGCTCAACATTTGATAGTCTTATGTATTTCTTTCCTGAATTGTCTATTCATGGGGTGTTTGTTTTCTATTAGATTATTTTAATGGGTTTATAACAGCTCTTTGCTTTTTTTTTTTGCTTTCAAGAGTCACTAGTGCATGCTCAACATTTGATAGTCTTATGTATTTCTTTCCTGAATTGTCTATTCATGGGGTGTTTGTTTTCTATTAAATTATTTTAATGGGTTTATAACAGCTCTTTGCTTTTTTTTTTTGCTTTCAAGAGTCACTAG